CCTCCATGAAGCGATTGACGTAGCCCACGGTGAACGCAATGTCCAGCCTCGTGTGGACTAGGTAGCGTAGACCGCCGATGATGCTCCGGTAGAGTGTTGCATCCACCTTCGCCGCGGTGCTGGTCTTTGTCAGCTTTAGCTGCTCCTCCATCAGAGTCACGCATGGCTTGCACATGCCGCTCCGCTCCAACAGCTTCGAGGCATACACGCTCTGACCGAGCATGAGTTTCTCCTTCCCCTGTCTCACCTCGATGCCGAGGTAGTAGGAGAGTGCGCCGAGATCGCTCATTCGAAAATAAGCCGCCATCTCGTGCTTGAAGCTGTTGATGTCCTCCGTGCACGCGTCGGTGACGATCAAGTCATCCACATATATGCCGATGATGAGCTCCTCCTTCCCCCGTCATCGCATGTAGAGCGCGTGCTCGGTTGCGTACCGCTGGAACCCAAGCTCGCGCAGCGTGGCATCAAGCTTGGCGTTCCATGCTCGTGGGGTCTGCCGTAGCCCGTAGAGCGCCTTGCGCAGTCGGTGCACCCTGTGCTCCTCTCCCTTGATGGCGAAACCTAGAGGTTGCCTGACAAAGTCCGTCTCTGCCAGCTCGCCATTGAGGAAGGTCAATTTAATGTCCAAGTGATGGACGTGCCAGTTCTTTGCTGCTGCCAAGGCTAGTAGCAAACGGACAGACTCTATACACGCTACTGGCGCAAAGACTTCCTCGAAGTCGATGCCCTCACGCTGAACAACACCTCGGGCGACAAGGCACGCCTTGTGCTTGACAATGGCGCCAAGCTCGTCCCGCTTGACCTTGTACACCCACTTCAGGCTGATCGGATGGCATCCTGGAGGTGGATCGACGAGCTGCCATATCTCATTTTCCTCGATTGCCTTCATCTCCTCCAGCATCGCCCATCGCCAGTTTCCGTCGCGCTTGGCCAGCGCAAACGTGGGTGTTTCCTCTATGCTGACGAGTAGCAGCTCTTGGTTATTGAGCAGCCGACCAGCTAGTCCTGAGGGCCATGTGCCACCGACGATGTTGTCCAGCCTGCGGAACCGCACCTCCTCACCTTCGTGGAAGGCATCAACGAACTCAGTGATGTCACTTAGAGGTGAGGCGAACTCAATCAGTGTTGATAGAGTTCCCTGTTCCGTCGGAGTGCTCGGCACCCTGGTTGTAGTGCTTGGCACTACTTCTGGATAGCTCATCACTACTCCTGCAGTGCTCGACACTACTGTAGGAGTGCTCAGCCTCAGTCTTGGAGTGGTTGGCACCACTACAAGACCTCTTGGCTCTGCTACGGGAGTGCTCGGCACCCGTCCTAGAGTGGTCGCCACCACTGCAGAACCTCCTGGCACCACTCCTAGCGTGCTCGGCATCCCTCCAGAAGTGCTCGGCACTCCTCCCTGAGTGCTCGGCACCGCCCCAGGAGTACTCGGCTCTGTCACTGGAGTGCTTGGTACTCCTCCCGTAGTGCTTGGCACCTCTTCCCCAGCATCTCCACAACCGTGGATGACCAAGTGCTCGACGATGAAGGTGCTGGTGAAGCCACCAGCTTCTCCCGTGCTCGGACTGGTCCAGTCCCAAGCCGCCTTCTCATCGAACACGACATCGCACGAGACAAGTACCTTGTCTCCGCATGGGTCATAGAGCCGGTACACCTTGGTACCCTTCGTGTAGCCTAGGAACACCATCGGTGTGCTCCTATCCTCCAGTTTGGTGAGGATCGGCTTCGTCTTACTAATGTGGCCGATGCAGCCGAATGTCCGGAGGAAGGACACGCTCGGCTTGCGCCCATACAAAGCTTCGAATGGCATCTTGCCCATCAAGGCCTTGGTCAGAGCGCCGTTGAGGATGAACACCGCCGTGGTCACCACCTCACCTCAGAACCTTGCCGGCATGCCTTTGGCCTTCATCATGGATCGAGCCATGCCGACCACCGTCTGGTTTCGCCTCTCCACCACGCCATTCTGTTGTGGCGAGTACGGCGCAGTGTGGTGTCGCACCATACCCTGATCCACGCAGTACGCAGCGAACTCCACCGAAGTGAATTCACCGCCGCGATCAGTCCTCAGCCCATGGAGCTTCTTACCGCTCTCAGCCTCCATGTGCATCTTGAATTTCTTGATCACCGCTGCCACTTCGTCCTTGCTCATCAGGAGTTGCAGCCACATGTAGCGACTGCAATCATCCACGAGCAGGAGGAAGTACCATCGACCACCGTTTGTAGCTGGCGTGATCGGCCCACAGAGGTCGCCGTGGATGAGCTCGAGAGCGTCCTTCGCATGATACTTGGCCGCCTTTGGAAATGGTAGCCTCCTCTACTTCCCGGCCAGGCAGCTGTTACACAACTCGCCTCCGTGCTTGATGTGGGGTAGCCCTCGGACCATCTTCTCTAGCCGACCAAGCGCGTCGAAGCTGAGATGTCCGAACCGGGCATGCCACATCCATGGTTCCTCGGTGTGCCTTGCCACCAGACACACTGGCTGCTCTACCTTCAGGTCAAGCAGGTACAACCGGTTCAAGAACCTCTTCACCTTGGCAAAAAGTCGCTGCTCCCAGTCCCTGATCCTAAAGACTCCGTCCTTGATCAGTACCTCGCTACCGCACTTATCCAACTGACCAATGCTGATGATGCTAGAATGCAGCTGCGGGATGTAATATACATCCGTTAGCACGCGGTGCTCCCTATTCTGACACCTGAAGATAATGGTGTTGCGCCCTTGGATTGCCACCCGTGAGCCATCACCAAACTTCACCGTACCGGTAACATCATCGTCGAGCTCAGAGAAGGATGCCTTGGAGCCCGTCATGTGGTTGCTGGCACTAGAGTCCAGATACCACCGCTGCTCCTAGTCGGCGCCCACACGTCTGAGGTGGACTTGGGCGCGTGGTTCATCGAGGTTGACACCCTTCAAGGCCTTCCCAGGTCCTTCCACCGTCGTCACCTCTTCCTTCTCCTCGGCCTCGACGTCGTGCAGTGCACATAACGTCGTCATCAGGATAGTGGCCTCATCATCATCATCAGCTTGCGCTAGATGAGCCTCAGCCTTCTTCTCCTGCTTGCGATTTGGGCACTCTCGTGCCCAATGGCCCGTCTTCCCACAGCGTCGACAGGCATTGGGGTCGACCTGCTTCTTCTTTACCGAAGAAGCCTTGCCGCGGTGTTTGCCATCGTCACCACGGCTGGAGGAGGCTACCCCGGAGTTCCTCTGAGCAGCCCACTCCTCCTCTATCAGCAGCAGTTTGCCGTTGTCCTTCGTTGCTGTCGCCTGCTCCAGGCGCTTGTCCACCGCCCATAGACGGCCTATCACATCCTCAATGGTGAGGGTGGACAAGTCCAGCATCGTCTCTATGAAGAGAGCGATCTGGATGTACTTTGCCGACACGGAGTGGAGGTACTTGGAGACCTCCTCCTCTTCGTCGATGGTGACGCCGTGGCTCTTCAGCTTGCTGATGAGCGTCTGTAGGCGGAGGGAGAAGTCCTCCACTGTTTCACCATCTTTGAACTTGAGGTTGACGTACTTCTGCTTCAGAAGCTGGGCCATCGCCTTCTTTGCGTGGTCGGAACCGACGCGTATCGCCACAATAGCCTCTCACGCCTCCTTAGCCGAGCTCTTCACCCCCAACGGCTACCTGTACTCTCACTGGTACAACAGCGAGAATAGCCTCCAACGCTGACATGTCATCTTCCTCATTGTCGGTGCCCTTGTCAACACCATTCTAGAGTCGTTGGGCTCTGAACTTGACCTTCATGGTCACTGATCACTCTCCATAGTTGGTGCGAGTCAGCGTCGGCCAACTGGTGTCGCTGACCTCTCGCACTATGCGAACAACGACCTCAGATCGTGGTTGGGCAGCCACAGCAGTGCCACTACTGTCGCCCATCTCCGAACCGTTTGTCATCGCCAGCGGTTAGTCCGGCGACGGCGCTTGTACGGCTCTGATACCACTTGTTGGCCCACAGGATCACCGGCTCAGGTGAGTCGACCACTCACCAGTCTTGCCGAGCACCCGCTAGTGCTGCCGAGCAGCCACTAGCTATGCCGATCACGAACAAGCGTTGTCCGACCACATACACTATGGCTAGAGATAGAAGAAGAGGGAGAACAGAGCATACACACACAATACAAGCACCAGCGTTGGCCGGAGCCCTATATAGGAGATGACAAATCTGAACTCTCTTTGTTGGGTTGCAGTGGCAAACTATATATACAACTCTATCCATCTAGTCCTAGTACAGCTCTCATGCTGCAACAGTGACTAGATAACACAGCAGGACTGACTTCTGCACCTGTCCCTGCATGTGGCTACAGTCCAGCAGGTGAGCCGTTCGGCGCCTGCCTCTACAGCGGCTACAGTACCACAACAGGGGTCCTTTTCGGCGCCGTCTTCCCTTGCCGTGTATTCATACAAAGAAACAGTAGATTATCTAACATCTTGTTCATGTTTCATCCATTTTGTCCTGATTTTCTTGGTCACTAGACAAAAAAAAAACATCATCTACTCGTTCATTTCTCCACTACCACAAAAAAAGAACTGGAAAATCCCAAAAAGAAAAGGAAGAAGCATCTGACTTCTTGTACTCATTCATTTCTTCCCTACTAGGAAACAAACCCTTGAAATCCTCCCCCAAAAAAAAAAAAAAAAGAAGAAAAACAGTCTTTGGCCTTCGATTTTTTCCTATCGTTTAGATCTTTGCAAAACCCAAACATTTTGTGCCATTACCAAGTCGATCACTTTGTCCTTTTCATCTGGAAACACTTGCATCTTGGTTAAAACTTTTCCTCCGATTACATTGCAGTCTTTACCAGTTATTTCCCTTCAGCAGAAGCACCTCATCCATAATAAAAAACCAGCTTTGTTTCTGATTCGCATTGACCATCCATTCACCTATTTTGTTCCTTCCATTATCAGTTCACTCTTTCATCTTCTTTTCATCTGGAAACATTTGCATCCAAGATCTCTTCGCTCGGAAAAGAAGGGGAAGCACAAGCCACTGCATCCATGGCGGACTTGGCGCTCTGTGGCTTAAGGTGGGCAGCATCGCCAATCATCAACAAGCTCCTAGCTGATGCTACAGCTTACCTCAGCGTGAACATGGTGCGTGAGCTCCAAAAACTAGAAGCCATCGTCCTGCCACAGTTTGACCTGGTGATTCAAGCGGCAGAGAAGAGCTCCCACAGGGTCAAGCTCAAGGAGTGGCTCCGGCGGCTCAAAGAAGCCTTCTATGATGCTGAGGACAACCTCCTCAAGCGCAAGGCAAAGAGTGGGAAGGATCCCTTGGTAAGGGAGGATGAAGCTTCCTCCATTGCATCGACCATCATGAAGCCACTTCGTGCTGCTAAGAGTAGGGCACGCAACTTGCTCCCTCAGAACAGAAAGCTAATTAACAAGATGAAAGAGCTCAAGGACATCCTGGTTCAAGCCAAGGAGCTTCGGGATCTTCTTGGCTTACCACATGGCAATACCGTCGAGTGGACACCAGCTGTACCAGCAACCGTTGTTCCTACAACCACATCACTTCCCACTTCAAAGGTTTTCGGTCGTGACAGGGATCGTGATCGTATAGTGGATTTTCTTCTCGGCAAGACGGCAACTGAAGAGGCAAGTTCAGCGAGGTACTCAAGTTGGGCCATTGTTGGAACGGGAGGAATGGGAAAGTCCACTTTAGCACAAGAGGATAGAAGAATGCTTTGATGTCAGGATGTGGGTCTGCATCTCACGCAAGCTTGATGTCCGTCGTCACAAAAGGGAGATTATTGAGTCCGCAAAAAAGGGGGAGTGCCCACGTGTTGATAATCTCGATACTCTCCAGTGCAAATTATGTGATATACTACGAGAGTCACATAAATTCTTGCTTGTCTTGGATGATGTTTGGTTTGAAAAATCTGATAGTGAGACGGAGTGGGACCAACTCCTCGCTCCATTAGTCTCTAAACAGTCGGGAAGCAGATTTTTGGTGACTTCTCGACTCGAAATGCTTCCGGCCGCTGTTTGCTGTGAACAAGTTGTTCGTTTGGAAAATATGGACGGTACAGAGTTCTTGGCTCTCTTTAAACACCACGCTTTCTCTGGAGTAGAAATTGAAGACCAACTGTTGCACACAAAACTAGAACATATTGCAGAGGAGATTGCTAAAAGGCTTGGACCATGTCCTTTGGCAGCAAAAGTTCTGGGTTCCAGGTTGAGCAGAAAAAAAAGATATCGCTGAATGGAAAGCTGCACTAAAGCTCAACGAATTAAGTGTGCCCTTGACATCTCTGTTGTGGAGTTACGAGAAGTTAGATCCACGACTGCAAAGGTGCTTCTTGTATTGCAGTTTATTTCCAAAAGGTTATAGATATGAACCTAATCAGTTGGTTCACTTTTGGGTTGCAGAAGGGTTTGTTGATTCGTGCAATTTGAGTAGTAGGACAGTGGAAGATGTTGGGTGGGATTACTTCAACGATATGGTCTCTGGATCTTTCTTCCAATTGGTTTCTGAAAGGTATGGTTCGTACTATGATTCGTACTATGTCATGCATGATATCCTTCATGATTTGGCAGAGTCACTCTCTAGAGAAGACTGCTTCAGATTGGAAGATGATAATGTGACAGAAATACCATGCACTGTTCAACATCTATCTGTTCATGTTGAGAGTATGCAAAAGCATAAGCAAATTATCTACAAGCTACATCATTTACACACTATTATCTGCATCGATCCACTAATGGATGATGCAAGTGATCTTTTTGACCACATGCTACGGAACCAAAGAAAACTGCGTGTATTGTATTTGTCATTTTACAACAGCCTGGCATCAAAACTTGCATCGATGTGGGAGGTGGATTCAGGATCACATATTAGGAGAGTGCTATCAAGGGACTGTTCATCTCTGAAGCAGTTTATGAAACTAATGGATGATGATATATCACAACATCTTCAAATTGTTGGAAGTGCTCTGGAGGAAGGAGATATAACATCGGTGAAAGAAAATCTCATCAAGGCATGGGTTTTTTGCCATGAGCAGAGGATAAGAGTCATTTATGGAAGGACAATGGAGATGCCACTGGTTCTACCATCAGGACTCTGTGAACTTTCTCTTTCTTCATGCAGTATTACAGATGAAGCTTTAGCTATTTGCCTTGATGGCCTCATTTCACTGGAAACTTTAGAATTAAAATATAATATGGCATTGACTGCACTTCCATCAGAAGAGGTGTTTGAGCATTTGACAAAGTTTGAATTGTTGATTGTAAGAGGTTGTTGGTGTCTCAAATCACTGGGGGGCTTACGTGCTGCTCCATCTCTTTCCATTCTTCACTGTAGGGATTGTCCTTCTTTAGAGCTAACACGTGGAGCAGAACTAATGCCGTTGAACCTTGCTAGGCACCTCAGCATCAATGGCTCCATTCTTGTAGCTGATTCATTCATTAATGGCTTGCCACACCTGAAATCTCTTGGCATTAGTGACTGCAGAAGCTCCCCATCCTTATCGATTGCCCACCTTACCTCTCTTGAAACATTATACCTATGGGGTCTCCCTGATCTTTGCATCGTTGAAGGCTTGTTTTCCCTGCACCTTAATTACTTAAGTCTAATAGATGTTCCAAACCTCAGTGCCAAGTGCATCTCACAGTTTCGTGTCCAGGAATCACTCACCATTAGTAGCTCCGTATTGCTCAACCACATGCTCAGGTCCGAAGGGTTTACAGTCCCGCCGAATCTTGATCTTTTAGATTGCAAGGAGCCGTCGGCTTCATTTGAAGAGCCTGCAAATCTATCATCTGTCAAGTGCCTGTATTTTTTTGAGTTGCGAAACGGAGTCCCTGCCAAGAAATCTAAAATTTCTCTCAAGTCTGGAGAGTCTTTCTATCCGCAATTGCCCCAACATAGCATCTTTACCAGATCTGCCGTCCTCCCTCCAGCGCATAACTATATGGCATTGCCCCCTCTTGAAGAAAAACTGCCAAGAACCTGATGGAGAAAGCTGGCCAAAGATTTCGCACATTCGATGGAAGAGCTTCTACTAATACTGAACTTGCTTCTTTAGACTTGCCACTTGAAATAAATGAGAAGGTACAGGTTCTACTGATTCATCCTCCAGCACAACTGATTTAAGTTTTCCAATATTTAAAGCATTTCATGTTCTAAACAGACACCTCGAGGTCAATCCAATGCGGTGCCCTCTTCTCTTGAAGCTTCAGAGTTCAGGCTCAAGTCAGAGTGTCAAACACCTCGAGGTCGCTAATGCTGCCGTCTCCGCGGTTCCCTGTTTTGGCGCTTGCATTGCTCCACCACCCTCCAAGGTTGCAAGACAGGTGGTTTCATTTGTACCATTTCACTTGTTATGTTATTCCTTGATTGTGAACAATTGCCAATACGTATTTCTCCGATAGAATGAACATCTAATAAGCAAGGTTTTAAATCTCCGGCTATAGTTGTCGCTATAGCCGGCTATAGCTGTTTGAGGCTGATCAAGCTATTTATGTTTATGTACAACTTAGCGGCTATAGCCCTATTTAGCTTCCGCTGTAGCTGTTTTAGAGGTCATCCGCTAAATGCCTTTAGCCGGAGATTTAAACCTTTCTAATAAGTAACTAACTGTGGCTACAGCTTTTATTCGTGTGGCAATTAGTCCTATGTGAGGCGAATTGGAGTCTGGAATGTTTCATACCTTTATTATCTTTCTTAAATGAAAGAAAGAATATTGCCAAATGCCAAGACGTGTTTCTAAATTAAAAACGTGCTTCCGTCCTCCTGTTATTGTTGCTGGTAGGTATACCTTTTTTAAGTGCTCTCGTGTGCTCTGCATATTTTATGTACTTCTGTAGCTTCAAGCTCCACGCAATTCTTTTTCCACCCAAGTATACCGGAGAGGACTGGTGTCTGGTTGTCTGCTGTAGTTTGTAGACAAGGGTGGGCATCTAGGTTCGAGCTTTCGATGCTTGGAATGCCTGCAATCTAATTTCTTTTCTGAACTTCGTGTTTTCATTCGGGTAAAAGAGCAACAAGCACTACTGGAAACGCGTGCTTTGCCGAGGGTCTGAGGATTTGCCGAGGGCCAAATCTCGGGCACTCAACAAAGACGCTCTTTACCGAGGACCAGACATAAGAGCCCTCGGCAAAGAACGGCCCTCGGCAAAGAGGCCTTCGCCGAGGGTACGACCCTCGGCAAAGACAGGCCCTCGGCAAATCAAATCTTTGCCGAGGGCCGAGGCCCTCGGCAAAGATGTCCTCGGCAAATTAGGCCTGTTGGGTCACGGCGGCCATTTCCGTCAAGCTTTGCCGAGGGCCACCCGTTAGGCCATCGGCAAAGGTTTTTTTTTTCCTGTGCAACCAGGTTATTCGGCAAATTTTTTTTAAGTCTTTGCCGAGGGCCCTAGACCAGACCCTCGACAAAGATTTTTTTTAAACCAGTTTTTCGGCTAAAATTTTTTTTTTATAAATCTCCTTTGCCGAGGGCCCGAGACTAGGCCCGAGGCAAAGAAGCCCTTGGCCGAGGGCCAGGATAGGCCCTCGGCAAAGATTTTTTTTAAAAAAAATTCTTTGCCGAGGGCCCAGATCCACGGCCCTCAGCAAAGATTTTTTATTTTTTTAAAAAAAAATTTGCCGAGGGCTCAGATCCACGGCCCTCGGCAAAGATTTTTTATTTTTTAAAAAAAATTCTTTGTCGAGGGCCACGGGGCAGGCCCTCGGCAAAGAGCCCTCAGCAATTTTTTTTTTTGGTTTTTTAGCCCAGTTTTTTTGTGGTGCTACAATACATTGTTTTGAACTCAATTTTAAAATTTAGGCCAATTTTGATTTTGTTTTGTATATTTCCTTAATTTATTTCGATTCTTTGATTTTTTTCGAATATATCAAATTTGAACTGCAGGTGCATGGAATATTGCAATGTAGTGTTTTGAAAAATGTTATTCATGTTAATTGGTGTCCACGGCCCCGCATCAAATTTTCACGTATCTTGTTCGCGTAACATGACGACCAACTTGCTGGAAAAGTGTTTTAAAATTATATAAAATCCATATGAAGTCCGAAAATCACGAAACTTGGCGAGATGCCATGTTATCGCATGTGTAGGCTGTGGTAAAAAATTAAGAAGGCTTCGAGCGAGTTGCGACGTCGGATGCCTGAAACCCAGACATCTCCACATGTGATTACAAATAGCGGAGTTTGTACGCCCGGCACTGATGGCCTCGACTATCATGGTAGAGTTGAGGAAATCTATGAACTCTCATTTCATGGAGACGAACCTCTTACACCTGTCATGTTCAAATGCCACTGGTTTAATCCTCGATCAACGAGACGAACCGCTCATCTTGGGCTAGTGGAGATTCGAGAAGATTCCATCTATCCTGGAAAAGATGTCTACATTGTGGCTCAACAGGCCGTGCAGGTGTATTATACTCAATACACCAACCAAGACAAAGAGGATCTTAAGGGTTAGGCTATTGTGCACCAGGTATCTCCACATGGTAAACTACCTGCCCCAAACGATGATGATTACAACTTCAACGCAAACACATATGATGGTCAGTTCTATCAAGAAGATGGGCTACCAGGCACGTTTGAGATAGTCTTACCCGAAGCAATCGAAATGGAAGTAGACAATGAAATGGTTGATGACGAGGTCGATGGAGATGTGGTGGTAAATGCCAAGGACATAGCAATGCTTGAGCGGTTACTTCTAGGCAATGACGACGATGACAACATAGAACCTTCGGATAGTGTTGCCCATTTGGACAATTTTGACAGTGATGATGAGACCTATGATCCCAATCATGAAGATTATTCCTAATACATGTAATACTATGGTTTTTTTATTTGTGTTTTGTTTATATATTTTGAATCTATTTCTAATATATGTACTAATTAGTCTTGTTCATTCTTTGTGATTGCAGGTGATTGGACAAAGATGGCGAGCAGACGTCCACGCCGTGACACGCCCTCGGTTTACGGGAGAGACCGCCCTCTCCTTCGAGGTGAGGGGTCGTCGTCCGGGGTAGCGTCCGTAGGAGGTGACGAGAGGAGGACCAGGGGCAGCCGCCGCAGGAGGCAGCGGTCTCCTCCCTCGACACATGACGAGGTGCTGGAGGAGGAGCACGTGACGGCCATGGCCTCGTCCTCGTCGGAGGACGAGAGGGGTCAGCAGACGGGCGAGGGAGGCGAGGCGCTCGAGGGCGAGGGAGGCGAGGCGCTCGAGGACAAGGGAGAGAGTACCGCTACCCGGACTCTCTACGAGCGAGGTCCCGCGAGCCTCCCTCCGGTTCTGCTTCCTCACAACCGCTCAGTGATTCGGCCTATGGCAAAGAGGTAAGTAACTATGGATGTTATCACAACTACTTCATAAGATATGTTGGAAATCTTAAGAGAAACTGATAAATTTTCTTAATCACTTGTGCAGGGCCTGGTTGGTTTTGTCGGGTACTCCAGCACGCACCCCCGCGAGCATCCTTGGTGTTTTGTGCAGGAAATGGTACCCCGGCATTGTGCAACTGTCCGAAGAGCCGGTGGTGCGGGAGCCGGCCTCCAACTGGGATAGGTACGCGCTGGTCACGGATGACACTTACCGCAACAAGCAGGAGCGAGTATTGGCGGAGTTTTGGGTAAGTCTCTCTCGCACAACATTGCTTAATACATCACATTCATTGGTTAAATCTTTTATCGAAATAATGAATGGATACATCAGTTTTGTATGCAGAAATATTTCAAGGCTGAAGAAGGACTTGAGGCCCAGGCGGATCGGGCGGCTGTCGCAGCTTGTAGGAAGTACGTCACCGAGATGCATCACCATGGACGCGTCCAGGCCCATATAGACTACTACAGGTCGTTACTTAGGCAGTCCCTCCCCAAGCCTCAAGCAAGACGGATTACGCTGACCCGGGACCAGTACCTTGAGGTAGGCGAATAACATTCATAATGATTCGTTTTGATATTAAGTAGGTTCAATTTCATCTTCTTATATGTCAAATACTCGATGACTTGTAGATGATTCCCTGGTGGTGCCGATCGTATCCCGAGTGCTGGGCCATGATCGTGGACAAGTGGTTATCACAGGACTTTGTTGACACGCACGAGAGGCAGCGGGAACAGCGTCTGATGAGGCAAGGTCCAACTCACCATCAAGGCAGCCGTAGCCTCCCCGGATACAAACAAGCATACGTAAGTTATTTCTTTCATTTATTTTGACGCTCAATTCTGCTTGATTTCTCACCATCTTCCTGTCTTTCTCGCAGCAGGCTGCGCGCTGCGCACTCGGGCGAGGAGGTCTCGGAGTTCTCTGCGTGGGCTATGTCCCACATGGGCAGGGCGTCGTCCTCTGTCTCCTTCGACCCAGCTACCCCGCCCCAGGTGTACTCCGACCCGAACGTGTACACTAAAGTCCAAGAGTACACATCAACGGTAAGGCAGATCTATGGGGAAGATTATAATGTGCGCACTGAGCCCATTGATGCAGAGGCGATTATGAGGCTCGGAGGAGGCAAGAAGCACGGGTGGCTGTGGATTGCAGATGGCGCCATCGACTCCACCAATGTTCCCTCCCTCGACGCTATCCGAGCACGGAGCACGAGCTCCAGCCAGCCCATACGTCCATGGCCTTCTCCAGCACTGCAGCAGGTCCAAGCACTCCAGGTAATTTTTGTTTTACTCATCGTACGTAGATATTTACACACCTAAATTAGATTTGCATTACTGATACATTAGAGTGAAATATTGCAGGCCGAGCTGCAAGAAACAAAAAGGCAAAGTCAAGAGCAGAACGCGGAGCTGACTGCACAGCTGCAGGCCCAGAAGGTCACGTTCGAGGCCGCGCAGAAGTAGATGGCGGAGATGATGGTGATCATGCAAAGTCTTGGGCAAGCATCGGGTGTACCTGTGCAGTTTTCAGCTCCTCCACCTCCTACTCCTGCAGCTACTCCTGTAAGTATGAAAGTTCACTTTTCGCTTGTGCTTTGCATGTATGTCGGCCTTCGTGCCGTT